AATCCCAAGTTCTAATTTGCAATGTGGTCTGAGAGACTGTTATGATTTCCATTCTTTTGCATTTGCTGAGGAGTGATTTACTTCCAATTATGTGGTCAATTTTAGAGCAAGTGTGATGTGGTGCTGAGAAGAATGTATATTCTGTGGATTTGGGGTGGAGAGTTCTGTAGATGTCTATTAGGTCCGCTTGGACCAGATCTGAGTTCAAGTCCTGGATATCCTTGTTAATTATCTGTCTTGTTAATCTGTCTAATATTGACAGTGGAGAGTTAAAGTCTCCCACTATTACTTTGTGGGAGTCTAAGTCTCTTTGTAAGTCATTAAGAACTTGCCTTATGTATCTGGGTGCTCCTGAATTGGGTGCATACATATTTAAAATAGTTAGTTCTTCTTGTTGCATTGATCCCTTTACCATTATGTAATGCCCTTCTTCCCTTCTTTGTCTCTTTTGATCTTTGTTAAAGTCTGTTTTATCCGAGACTATGATTGCAACCCCTACTTTTTTTTTTTTTTTTTTGCTCTCCATTCACTTGGTAAATCTTTCTCCATCCCTTTATTTTGAGCCTATGTGTGTCTACACATGAGATGGGTCTCCTGAATACAGCGCATCAGTGGGTCTTGACTCTGTCCAATTTGCCACTCTGTGTCTTTTGATTGGGGCATTTAGCCCATTTACATTTAAGGTTAATACTGTTATGTGTGAATTTGATTCTGCCATTTTGATACTAACTGGTTGTTTTGCCCATTAGTTGATGCAGTTTCTTCATTGTGTTGATGGTCTTTACCATTTGGTATGTTTTTGCAATGCCTGGTACTGGTTGTGTTGTTACTTTCCATTTTTAGTGATTCCTTCAGGAGCTCTTGTAAGGCAGGCCTGGTGGAGATGAAATCTCTCAGCAATTGCTTGTCTGTAAAGGATTTTATTTCTCCGTCACTTATGAAGCTTAGTTTGGCTGGATATGAAATTCTGGATTGAAAGTTCTTTTCTTTAAGGATGTTGAATATTGGCCCCCAGTCTCTTCTGTCATGTAGGGTTTCTGCCAGGAGATCTGCTGTGAGTCTGAGGGGATTCCCTTTATGGGTAACTTGACCTTTCTCTCTGGCTGCCCTTAGCATTTTTTCCTTTATTTCAACCTTGGTGAATCTGACAATTATGTGCCTTGGGGTTGCTCTTCTTGAGGAATATCTTTGTGGTATTCTCTGTATTTCCTGGATTTGAATGTTGGCCTGCCGTGATGGATTGGGAAGGTTCTCCTGGATAATATTCTGAAGAATGTTTTTCAACTTAGTTTCATTCTCTTTCCAACCAGTCTCATTGAGGTGAACCTGGGAACCTGGTACCTCAGTTGGTTCAGAGATCACTCGCCTTCTGCATCACTCTTGCTGGGAACTGTGCACTGGAGCTGTTCCTATTCGGCCATCTAGCCATCTTGGTGGAAGACCTTTTTTTTTTTTTTTTTTTTTGGAGACAGTGTCTTGTTCTGTCACCAGGCGCCAGGCTGGAGTGCAGTGGCGCGACCTTCCGCTCACTGCAACCTCCACCTCCCGGGTTCAAGCAATTCTCCTGCCTTAGCCTCCCGAGTAGCTGGGACTACAGACGCACACCACCATGCCCAGCTAATTTTTTATATTTTAGTAGAGACGGAGTTTCACTATGTTGGCCAGGATGGTCTTGATCTCTTGACCTTGTGATCCGCCCACCTCGGCCTCCCAAAGTGCTGGGATTACAGGCGTGAGCCACCGCGCCCGGCCTTTTTTTTTTCTTAAGGTGGGGTTTCACCGTGATGGCCAGGCTAGTCTTGAACTCCTGACCTCAGGTGATCCACCCACCTCAGCCTCCCAAAGTGCTAGGATTACAGGCATGAGCCACAGCACCCGGCCAATTCTTGGATCTTAAAACATAAGTGTGTTTGAGCACTTCTGTGAAAAAAAAAAAAAAATATATATATATATGTGTGTGTGTGTGTGTGTGTGTGTGTATATATATATATATATATATATGTATATATATATGTGGCTGGCCTGGTGTGTTGACCAACTTCTATAATCCCAGCACTTTAGGAAGTTGAGGCTGGTGGATCATCTCAGGACAGGAGTTTGAGACCAGCCTGGCCAACATGGTGAAACCCTGTCTCTACTAAAAACACACAAATTAGCTGGACATGTTGGCCGGCACTTGTAATCCCAGCTACTCAGGAGGCTGAGGCAGAAGAAATGCTTGAACCCGGGAAGAAAAGGTCGCAGTGAGCTGAGATCGCGCCACTGCACTCCAGCCTGGGTGACAGAGCAAAGAAAAAACCAAGAATCCCTGGTGGTCTAGAGAGAAGAAAGAAGGGAAAAAAAAAGATACATATATATATATGTGGCTAAATGTACAATTCTGCTCTTATATGATGTCTATTTAATCAAATTTGTATTGAAAAATTTTATTTTAAAAAGCTGAATTGTATAAAATATTATTTAATGTGTATAAATATAAAATCTGTATCTAAATTCTCTAATATAATTTAAATTTGGGAAAAGTGATTGCTATAAATGATAAATCATGATGAAATACATAAATTTCTGGCTTCTAATAAACTCAAGAGAAATATGTCTCATAGTAAGAGCCGGGTTTTTTCCCTAATTGTGTAATGGAAAATCTGCCTGTTTAAGGGGTTTAACTGGTGTTAGTATTTGTAAAGGGTCTGGAGTTTTTACATAAGCGCTCAGTGACTTACCATGGATGAGGCTCTATAATAGAGGATTGAGAGTCATTTAAATGCTTCCTGAACAAAATTCTGAGCTTAAAACCTTGCCTAAATCAGTAGCCCCTAAATTCAATGTGCCATCTTATAATTTCCAAGAACACGCACATTAAGTGAATATTTTTATGTCTATGTTTGTGGAACGGTCTGTTCAGGGCCCTCATTCCTCAACCTTTTTTTTTCAACCACCTTCTCATTAAGGAGGCTTATGTATTAATCATGGTTTTTCATTTTTGGTTTTAGAGTATGAGTGAAAGGAATCAAAGTACACTTGGAAAAGGGCCAAGTAGATGACTACATTTGCTCATTTCCCAGGCTCTTTTTTCTCCTCTGGATTCCTCCCTTGGGTAGGCTGTTGCTTGACCACTGCATGCACAGTAGTCTGCCAGCACTTGGGAGGGGCCGCATGCACTGTTTGTTTACTGACGTCAGGCACATACTCATTTGGGGTGATTTTCCCTTATGAGTCAAGCACCCCCAGAGGAAGGTCAAATACCAGTCAAATTCTGCCATCTTGCCCCATTTTGTGCATGCTTGCCCCATTTTGTGCAGGGATAGTGGGTCACTGGCTCCAGGTGTTTTTTATCTGTTGGAAAACTCTTTTCCCTCTCAGTACCAATCATGGCCACTTAGCATCTCAGAGGGATAGTTTTATGCTCTCCTGTCCTTCAGCCAATGAGAGCTGGACATCTCTGGGGTTCCTCTCTTGTTATGTTTATTATCTCAGAGGAAAAGATTTATGATTGCCTGTCCTTGACTCCAAATTTGCCTGACATTCCTAGGGTCCCTCTCTCCTGTCCTACTCATATCCAACTACCTACTGTAACACCAGGGCCAAATGGGAGGCAGCTAGAGACTACTCCTGTAAATCAAAGCCAACCAGAATTATTCAGACTAGTCAGTACTCAGATGTCGGCTCTGATCTGCCTTGCCTTTCCCATGGAAAACACAATAATGGATCTGGTCTAGGCTTTCCCCTAGCTCTTGCCTCTTCCTTCACACTAAAACCTGTTCCTCCTGTGGCCCTGCATGGCATACTGTACTTCTGATTTCTAGGGAAATTCTGAGTAATGTTGAACTTTTATTTCAGTGGCATTGAGCTCTCCATGTCCTTTTCTAATAAAGATCCATCCACAAATTGGCCTTTCTTGGCTATGTAATATTACATATCATTCCAGCACGTCTCGGTGCCTTCACCTTCTCTTTTATCCATTATGCCTGCCACATTCTAACATTCCATATAATTCAGCATTTTTTTTTTCATATTTCCTCCTCTGTCTTTCTTGAGTACAGTGTAAGCTACTGGGGTCTCTCTCTTGTTTTGTAAATGCTTCATGCAGTTAAGATAGTGCCTGAAATACAGTAGGTGTTTATTCAACATTTGTTAGAACTATGAATAAGCATGAATACTACAGCATCCCTGTTCACTTTCACATTCCGATAGTGCTTTCTAAATGTTTTCTTTAGTTTTCTTTCCAGATATTAGTGTTTTCAAGAATGAAAGGAAGTGTGGCATGATGGCTCACATCTGTAATCCCAACTTTTTGGGAGGTTGAGGTGGGAGGATCCCTTGAGCCCAAGAGTTTGAGGCTGCAGCAAGCCATGATCATGTCACTACTCTTCAGCCTGTGCAACATAGCAAGATTCTGTCTTCCAAAATTAAATAAATAAATAAAATTACATTTTGGAGAGTATACCCTGTGTAGTTCTATCACAGCTGTGTGCTCAGCTTCATTTGCCCACTTCTCAGACTTCAGTATCTCCTGCTTGAATTTTGCTGTCAATTGTTTTCACTTATCACAGATGTTTGTCCAGATCCATTTCTTCATGTACCTATGAATAACTACAGAATTATTATTATCAGTAATTTAAACAATTTGCAAATGTTTTTTTCTTTCTTTTTCCATACATTTTGACCCCATCTTTCATTTTTCTAACCACAGATAAATCTCAAGTTTTGATTGAGACACTGTCCCTGTAATTGCAGGTGAAATGAGAATCATCTCCCAGCCAAGAAATGTGATTCCAGTTTTCCAAATCTTTATTTCTTGGTACAGATACCACCTTTTCATTAGCACTACGTCAGCCCCTGTTTTGGCACATAAAGGCATTTATAATGGTTCTTCTTTTCAGATAAGAAACATTCCCAAAAGGAAATACATATATCTAAACTTGTGGACTAGGAACTCTCATTTTGATAACAGTATTGTTCCTTTGTTTGGACATTAGTGACTATATAGGCAGGAAAGGTACCTTTCTTGACCACCTTCTTTTGCCTGCCTTGGTTCTCCCAGGTATCTGTTTCTGAGGAAACCAGAGGAACTAACTACATTAGTCCACTTGCTTCAGGGAGCTCCAGCGTCCCTCCATAGCCACTGTCTGGAGACCATTCTTCTTCCACTCCATGGCCCTGCCTGGGGACAATTCTTGGTGAATCCTGACACAACTGAGGCTCACAAAATCCAAAACTTTTCTTTACAGTACACATATTTTTGAAATGAAGGCAATCCAAGTGAACTATGAGTGGACTCAGAGTGACATTGGATGTTGTGCGTCCATCTGGTTTTGTGGCTTTGGGGAACATCTGTAAGAATATACCTCTCAATATTTCGGGGATCCCTAGAGACTTCACAGGATCTGAATGAAGGTCCTTTAAGAGGAGCGAAGCTACGCCCTGCCATCAGAGTCTCAGGGCATAATTTCCCAGCGCCCCTCACAATACCATTTAGCCTTTGCCCAGCGCGCAGTGGAGTTAGAAGTCGTCTCGGCCAAGTGCACATGGGAACTACATTGCCCAGAAACCTCTGTGCCGCGTGGTGGCGGCAATGATGCGGGCGTTTCCCTGCGAGCGAAAGCTCTCTGGGCGGGACTTCCGGCATCTTCCTCGCCTCGGTAATTTTGCGGGCTCTGAGATAGAAGCATTCGACTAGAAGGCTTGGGTTGTTGCGGGGTTTCGAGGTGACGGAAACGGAAGCGGGAGGGTGGGGAGGAGGCGCTGTTCGCCCTGCAGAGTGGCTCGCCAGCGAAGACCCCGCCTCCGCCCCCCGGGGCCGGGTTATAGCGGCCTACGAACCTAATGGCGGCAGCCGCGGTGATGGGCCTGGTGCAGGTGGGTGCTGTGTTCCCCAGACTTTCGCCCGCGGGGAATCCTGAAGTCCCAATTCAGGAGCGGACATCTGAGTCGCTGCAGCCGCAGGCGCTAGTGTCCGGGGCAGCGGGGCGCTGGTGGGGCCCCCTTCCTAAATCCGGCGTTTAAGGTGGGGGCGATTGTGACGGATAGAGGGGCAGGCTGAGCAGAGGCTCGGAGCCGGACTGACCCCAGAGCAGTCGGGAGCGTGTGTGAGCGGTAGTCACGCCTGCAGTAGCGCGGGGAGAAGTTGCGCCTTCATTGTGAGGACGATAGGCGTCACGGCGCGTTTTGAAGGGTGGAGGGAAGTCCGATAAAGCATTTTTAAAGTATTCATAGGTTCACTAAGGAGGAAACAGACTAGAGTGAGTTAGAAACGGTGAGGATGGGATTGGGGGAAAGGGACTGTAAAAAAATAAAAATAAATAAATTGAAAAAGAAACGGTGAGGATGGAGGCAGGGAGACCTTTAAGAAAGGCCCTGCAACAAACTCCAGGAGTGTTGCGGTGGTGGCTGGGCCTGAGTAGTGACAGGAGGGGTTGGGGTTGGGGTTGTTTAGCGCGTTGCTTGGTAAAGAGACCCCCAGGCAGGCTTCGTGTCCGCCACGAGGCTGTTTTATTTAGCGCTTGGGTGCAAGCGGGCCAAGTCCAAGATAGGAGTTAGGCAAGGGGAGTAGGAAAGGGGACTGATTTTATAGGTTGGTGCAAATGGTCAAAGATGGTAATTTATTTTAGGGAGGGGAAGGGCGTCACGGGATGCATGGTCACAAGGGTGGGGGTTATCTATTACTAGCTGGCATAGTCATAAGGGTGGGGGTTGTCTGTTGCTAGCAGAGGGGAGGATGTGGTAAATTACAAACAGTGGTGGCGATCTTGAGAAACCTGATGTCTAGGGGAAAATTTCGCAAGGCTGAGCAGGAACAAGGGTCAGACATTGTAGGGGGAGAGCAATCAGTTGAGGCAAGAACTCGTTTCACTTCTCTTTATGGCCATCCGGTTGCTTCAGACTTTCTGGCTCTTGGAGACCATTTGGAGGTGTATGTGCAGGTCACCAAGGATATAATGGCCAGGCTTGGACATGGAGGCCTGACATTCCTGTCTTCTTATATATGTATAAAGAAAAGGTTTAAAAAGAGAGGGGAGGCCGGGCGCGGTGGCTCAAGCCTGTAATCCCAGCACTTTGGGAGGCCGAGGCGGGTGGATCACGAGGTCAAGAGATCGAGACCATCCTGGTCAACATGGTGAAACTCCGTCTCTACTAAAAATACAAAAAAATTAGCTGGGCATGGTGGTGCGTGCCTGTAATCCCAGCTACTCAGGAGGCTGAGGCAGGAGAATTGCCTGAACCCAGGAGGCGGAGGTTGCGGTGAGCCGAGATCGTGCCATTGCACTCCAGCCTGGGTAACAAGAGCGAAACTCCGTCTCAAAAAAAAAAAAAAAAGAGAAGGGAGTAGGGGCGATGTCTCTCAAGGCTTCTTTAAGCATGACAGGGGGCTGCGTGTATACCTGCGTATATAAAATAAAAGTCTTTGATTTTTGTAGTTTAGTAAGTGTTTAGTTAAGTCTTTGGTTTAGGGCACCATTTTATGTATTTAACAAGGTGCCAATTATCATATTTTTGAGCTTGAAATTTTCCTAATAGGTTGAATTTTCTAAAAATAGCCTTTAAACATAATAGTTTTAAGGGGGTAGTGATGAAGCCTTGGGCCAAGGTTGGAATAGTGTCCAGTCTACCAATGCTTTTTGTCCCCATTTTCAATCATATGAATAAGGCTGCTTGTCGTCAAGCCAGTAATCTGTTATATTACCCTTTTCCCATAAGTTTAAGTGGTGTTCTGAATGGAGGAGTTCAATAGTTCTGATTGCTGACCCTATGCAAGAGAGATAAGTAATACTCTTTATCTCCTGAGTTGAGCTGAGGCTGGCAAAAGGAAAAGTGTCCCAAGCCCTCTAATAGCCATTGGTACACTTTGTGGTGACCTGGATGTTGGTTTGGCTGCCAAATGTGGGGTGCAGGCTCTGTATATGTGTACTGCAGTTTATCTTCATAAGCTTGGGCCTGGGGACACCATGGGCAAGTGTCTGATGGCTGCCACCCCATTACGTCTTAGGATTTTTTTCTCAGAGGCTTTTCAATTCATGGGTAGGGAAGATTCTTGAGAATAGAATACTATTATGGGGAGTTGATCCTAGAAGACTTGGATTGAAAGGGATATGTGTGGGTTCTGGAGAGGTATTAAACTGCATCTTGACCTTAGCCAGGTGTTGCCTGGAATTCTTTTTTAATTTATTTTTTATTATTTATTATTATTATTTTTTTAAAAAAAGATGGGGTTTCACCATGATGGCCAGGCTAGTCTTGAACTCCTGACCTCAGGTGATCCATCCACCTTGGCCTTCCAAAGTGCTAGGATTACAGGCATGAGCCACCGCGCCCAGCTGCCAGGAATTCATGAGTGGTGAACTGGTGTTTGTGGTTGATCCTAGAAGAGTGAAGGCTATGAAATAGGACTGGAGACAAGGCAGGCAAATGAGCCAGAAGGATTGGTAAGGCGTCTTGTCTTAAGCTGCTGAGAGGTCCTGGGACAGGGGTTGATATTGTCGGGTTGTTAAAAGTAGCATTTGCCATATGGAGTGATTAGTAATGGCCTGGATATGGTTTTGTAGGAATTGAGAGACTAAGTGGAAAATGCAAGGTTTGAATAGGAGGTGAAGGAAGATGGTTATTAGGAGAGTAAGGATCGGAGAAAGCCATGACATCCAGCAAGAAAACAGCCAGGTGGGTTTGGCATAGTTATTTGCCGGGTTAGTAAATTTCTGGGCTCTGTCTTTGAGCCTTCTGATATTACCATAAACTAAGCTGGACTGATTTAAGTAAAAGCAGCATTCCTCATTTAGAAATATACAGAATCCTTTCTTTTCTGAAGTAAGTAAGTCGAGGCCATGAAGGTTCTGGAGGACAGCTGCAGCTAAAGAATTAATTTGAGCCTGAAGGACAGATAAAGTATTATATATGTCAGTAATGCTAGCAGAGAAATCAATAGACTACAGAATGTTGTGACAGAGGGGGTGACCCCCACTATGCCAGTTCTGAGGCCCACAATGGAGGTTGCAAACCCTGTTCCTAGGAGTAATGGAATTAGCTGGATGAATCTTTTTTGTCTAGTGGGTGTCATTAGGGGGACAGGCAGTTGTTTATTACCACTGGCAAATTATATTTTAGGAATAAGGAAGACTAAGGCACAGGTGCCTGTACAGTTAGTAGGTAAACACATATAGGTGGAGGATCCATATAAGAAGAGGCCTGGGGCAAGGCAGAATTGAAAATGTAGGGTGAAACGGTGGGAGGGAGCTTTGAAAGGGGAGTCAGATATACTCAAAGTCCTAAAGATCCAGTAAGGACAGTAGCCTTTAGAGGTTGAAAGGGAGATTGATGGGGGAATCGTGTAGTGGGAGTGGTCTGATTTTCATAATGTATGAGGAAGCACGTAGTATCAACAAATAGTCTGCTACTAACATTTGTAGGGCCATGTATGAGTAAGCATAAAAAGGGTCTAAGAGGAGAATCTGAGGAACAAGGAGACAGTATCCAAGGATGGAGTGAGAGACAAGGAAGGTGCTGACCTGGACAGTAATGACTGTTAACATTTTTGAGGTTATTAGTGATAAAGGGTTTGTCAGTAAAGTGAAGTGAGTATGCTCCTGCAGCCATATTACCATGTGAGTCAGGGCCTTGGAGATGGAGAGTAAAGGAGCACTTGGAAAGGGGAAGGTTACACAAGGGAATTACAATGGTTCGTTGATGGGAAATGCTTAGAGGAGCAAGAGTGGGGATTCGTGTCTGTGTAGTAAGGGTTCCTAATATGGGCGGAGTGGAGTTCATATGAGGTAAGAGTTGCTGTAGATAGTTGAGGACAAGTATGGCAGCTTGTTGGTATGAAATGTCTGAGGAGGTTTTCCTAAACTTGTCTAAGAAAAAGAGAGGCTCCCTGGGAGGGTAGAGATGGGGACTGTTAAAAGAGATGCAGAGGTATAGGGAGATGGAAGAGGTAGCCCAGTCGGCTGCAGGGCAGGAATAGCGGGATAAGAGGAAGAACAAAGGGAGATGAAGAGCCAGCAATTTTTCGCCAACAATGGGTTGAAATTAGTGAGAAGGAAATGGGTTAGATTGATGGTGTGTTGAAGGTAATTAGGAAGGGATAGGGAGTTACAGAATGGGACTGAGAATAAGAGTGAGTAGAAGAGTAAAGAAGAGGACTTCATTAGGGGAAAAGAATTGGAGTGTCCCTTGCCACATAAGGTTATCTATCCATTCAAGGAAGGAGTCAAGGGTGAGAGTTTATGGGTAGAATCAGGAGATGTCAGCTAAAATGCTCTCGAGGAAAACAGTAAACCAGCAAGGCAAGCAGGCATAGGGCATTTAAATGTAGATGAGAAGGGTGATTAGAAGTATAGTTAGACGCCGGGCGCGGTGGCTCAAGCCTGTAATCCCAGCACTTTGGGAGGCCGAGGCGGGTGGATCACGAGGTCAAGAGATCGAGACCATCCTGGTCAACATGGTGAAACCCCGTCTCTACTAAAAAATACAAAAAATTAGCTGGGCATGGTGGTGCGTGCCTGTAATCCCAGCTACTCAGGAGGCTGAGGCAGGAGAATTGCCTGAACCCAGGAGGCGGAGGTTGCGGTGAGCCGAGATCGTGCCATTGCACTCCAGCCTGGGTAACAAGAGCGAAACTCCGTCTCAAAAAAAAAAAAAAAAAAAAAAAAAGAAGTATAGTTAGACAGAAAGCAACAGAAATAGAGAGCTTGTGAGGTATAGACCAAGCTTCAGGGGTGACTGTGTAGAGTCCTGCTGCAAATTAAGAGAAGGATTCCTGTTGATGTTGAAATATAAACTAAACTCGTGTGGTTTGTGTCTACTCTTCAGGAATTTGAGTAAGCTTAAGAGAAGCAGGAGAGAGTACTTGTGACTTTCAAGAGGAG